AATTTTGACTAAACAGCAACATGAAGGCACTAACACCCTTATCCTCACTTGGGCTATTGCAGTAGCTAACTCTCTGCATCAGCTCATGCCCTCTTTAATCTGTTCTCAACACAGTAGCCAAGCGTTGCTATTCAAGCGTAAATTTGGTGTCCTCATACTTCTACTTCAAATCATCCAATGACTCCCTGTCTCACTCTAAGTAAAAGCCAAATTCCTTACAATAAGCACAAGGCTCTAAGGAACTGGGCTCCAAGTTCCTTCTGGAACCTCCCTTCCTGCCATTCTCCCCAACAATGTGACAGTGCAACAATGCATGTTTCTGCTGAGTGCTTCTTAAACATACCCTTGCATTTTTCATCAGCTAACACACAATGCATATGTTTGTTTTTTTGCTATTGTCTCTCTTCCCCCACTTGAATGTAAACTCTATAGTGGTAAAGGCTTTGATTGCTTTACTGCAGCATCCCCTCCTCTAGACCAATGCTGGCCCTTAATAGACAGCCAAGAGATATTGTTGGCTGGACTTGGAAGAGTGTGATCCAGGATAGTTCTAAGACCTAAAATGGGCCCAACGTGGCGGCTCACGCCTGTAATTCCACCACTTTGGAAGGCTGAGGTGGGCGGATCACCAGGTCAGGAGTTTGAGACCAGCCTGGCCAGCCTAGCGAAACCCTGTCTCTACTAAAAATACAAAAAATTAGCCAGGTATGGTGGCACACACCTGTAGTCCCAGCTACTCAGGAGGCTAAGGCAGGAGAATTGCTTGAACCCAGCAGGTGAAGGTTGCAACTGAGATCGCAGCATTGCACTCCAGCCTGGGCCAGAATGAGACTCAGTCTCAAAAAAAAAAAAAAACCTGAAATGTTCTTTTCTGGACTTCTCGATTTAGGACAACTACAAACTAGTTTTATTTCACAATGTTCAACAAGTTCTAGTGTCAGTGAATAAAGGTTTATACCACAGGGTGTGAGTTTCACTCTGCTACTGGTTTTGGCCTGGTGTGAAAATGCAGCAGGTTTCCAAGCTGCCCCACTAGTTGGAGACACAGCAGTGAGCACCTGCAGGCCCCTGGGGAAGCCAAGGAAACCCACACTGATTCTGTGATAAAGCCTGTGAAAGCGCTTTGAAATGTTAAAAGTGGTATGCAAATCTAAGGCATAATTATTATTAAGGAAGTTTCAGCCACACCACATCAATGGAGAACCTCTAAAAAGGCCCTTTGCTAATTATGCAGGAAGAGTTATCATCACAGTACTATTCTTTGAAGATACAGGGTTGCTTTGTTGCAGCTCTCATGGGCATGTCTTAACCATCACTGTACTTTCTCCCTATGATGGACCCTGTTGGTCTTCCTCCAAGACCTGTTTCACTATATTTATTCTACTTAAAGGACTGGACAAGAAGGAAATTGGCATATTACATTAAGCTATGGGCCACTTGATTAAATTAAGTTCTAAGAAGTGATTATCCAAAGTTGAAGTTAGGTCAGAGTAAATTTTACACACACACACAAATGCACACACATTTTGTATGTCTGTATTAACGAAATATCTCACTCTGTATTTGGATTTTTAAAAAGCATTTATAGCAACACTCTAACAGTTGGGAACAGAAAGGGGATTTCTCCAGGAGAATTTCCTTGGCTGAAATTTAGAAGAAAATCAAAGGTAACACACAGACTACCCCATGCAAAAAACACCACTGGACATTTTATAAATTCTGCTTAATCAAGCTCATATTTGTAGGGCTTGGTGTTAAATTCTAAGCCACTAACTTCTTTTAGGGCATGGTTCTTTTCCTTTGATAGATCAGGGCTCCTTTGAGAATCTGATTAAGAAAGGGAAAAATAAACCACCATAACTCTTTAGAAAATTATACAAATTCACTATATAAAACAACTTACATGTACTATTGAAGGGTTCATATACCCTGAAGCTACTTGTGAGTAGATGTTAACAAAGGAACAAACGGATGATAACAGCTAATCCTCACAACACCCCTATAAGATTAAGATGTTTATTCTCCTGTTTTACAGTTGAGCTGTAAAACACTGAAGCACAGAGAGGTACAGCTAGGTACAGCTAGGTACAGCTAGGTGCAGCTAGGTGCAGCTAGGTACAGCTAGGTACAGCTAGGTGCAGCTAGGTACAGCTAGGTACAGCTAGGTACAGCTAGGTACAGCTAGGTACAGCTAGGTGCAGTGAAGCCAGAACCTGAACCAGTCAGCCTTCTGCCTCATTCATGTAACCACCAGGCTATATTGCTTCAAGATTACACTGCCAGGAGGTAGAGCTAAAACTGATTCTAGATCAGTTTTAACTGATCAGTCTTAACCCAAGCATTGATGCATTCACATGAGTAGATTTCTGCAAGTTGGAAAGAAGGGTCAAGGAGCAGGTGAGTTACTTATTAAAAGTGACTTCTAAGTTCCTGATATTTTGCTATTTGTCATCCCACTTGACAAAAAAAGAAAGCATTCATTGAGGTGATCTGACAGTAACCCCACATTGTTGAGCCTTGGAACCCATGTCGACCCAGAAGAACACTAAGCCAACTGGCTTTCAACTGTGAAGTCAGGTAGTTAAGAAACAAAAGGCCTGTGTTTCCCTTTCAACTATCATGGTAACCTTACTATAAAAGATGACCAATTAAAATTCGATAACATAAAAGAGAAGGCACTGAAGAGTAGGGAAGTACTACACTTGGAGGTACTAGGGCACTAGGGTCTCCAAGGAGCATCTCAAGTAGTGAGAGGTGGGGAGGTGAGGTGGACAAGCAGGTAGGGCTGTACCCCCAACTCCCCTGCCAATTCAAGCAATGCAGCGATCCATTTATCTGGATGAGAGATATAGATATAGATATATAGAGATATAGAGATATAGATATATAGATATAGATATATAATTCCAGATGAGCTTTTATTTGCTGAAAGGATTTTGCAGTTAAAAAAAAGGTTGAAGATAGCAGGACTACATCATGGAGGACGTCACCAATGAACCCAAAATCCAGCTGAGGCAACCTTCTGGAAAGCAGTGAATAGGAATTTGTGTTCTCCTAGGTTTTCTACACCACACTTGCCCCCAGGGCACTAGAACTCTCTATGCTGACAGGCTTCTGCAGAGAGTGTATTATACCTGGTAATGGACCCTCTCACTCAAATGCTCGAGGCTTTGTATTCTTTCTTTTCCGGCTGCCCAAAAGGGTTATGTCAAGTCCTATAAAGATCACTGGTGAGAAACTAGCTGATCTCCTCTGGCAGGTATCTCTGCCCAGCAATTCTGGGAGGGATGTTTTAAAGCACCCTCTATTTCAAAGTCCAAGGTAATGACTGGGTGATGTACGGCTGCGCATGGAATTGTAAAGTAATCTGAAAAAAGTCAGCAAAGTTTCAAGTAGAGAGACCAGTCTTCCTGGTGACCTTTGTTTGGTCAAATACCTAATTGTTTGGCTTTTAGCTTTGTATAATCTATGAAGTAGGAGAGGAGATACTAGGAAATTCTTTCAATATTATACTTTCTAGAAGAAACAATACAACAAAGATGTATTGAAAATCTACCACACTATCTACTTTGAGGTATCTGGAACCACAGTGGAATGAATTCCACTATCTCCCTAATCTTTACACTAATTCTGGCTAAAAGATGACATCAGCTCAAATTTTCCTGATCAGTTTTTTAGCAGGCTTTGGCTGTCAAAATCTCTTCTGTGTTTTCAGTCTGAAGCAATTACTGTTGAATTTTGCGCTGTTGTTCACTATGGGGAGTATATCGGTTTTAGGTCACATCAAGGATCTACTAGAGATGTATTTTTCTAGGTCATTTGATAGTACCTTGAGTATATACGGTACATATAGGCCCATTTTATGGACCTTTCAGACACAGTTTTTTTCCCTTGTATTAGATATTTCTGTGGTTTATTTGATGTACTCACATACAAATTCATGCTATAATAAATTAAATTGTAACATAATATCTACCTTAATTAAATGTTTACAGTTTAGACCAGGAGCCTGGCAAAGTAAAGATGACAGAGATGTAATGCTTGATAAGTAAATAAATACAAGAAGAGATATATATTAAAACAACTGTGAAGTGAACCCCCTATGAAGAAAAGAAAGTCTATAATAATATAAACCTGTATCCAGAAATCCTGTGATTCTGATTTTGTGAACAAAAGGATACACGGAATTCTCAGACGTTTTCTAGTTGTAACCTTTTAATTGTTTGACTTTATATTCTGTCTCCTCAAATTCTCCTCAGACTGTGATGTGTTAATGCTCTCTTTTGTATTTTCTAATTAAATTCCATACACATTAATTTGTTTGAGAAATGTTGATAGTATTGTGAAGTCATTGAGCTAATGAGTCACATCACGTGGCTTCATCAATAAGATTTGAGATCTGCTTGCTTTTGGAAAATAACATTTGTAACTTTGAGGAAAGAGAAGAAATAGGAGATTTATTAAATAAAGACAGAGCATAGGCTGGCTGCCTGAGTGTTTTTGCCTTCACGGTTGTTGTTGCCAGGTTTCTAACGCATACCAACCCAACAACAGCATTCTCGCACTCTCTTTTAAAGAGCTGTAGGCAGGTCTCAACTCTCCAAGACCCAGAATAGAGTTCAAATTTGAAGTGTGGGCCGGGCGCAGTGGCTCACGCCTGTAATCCCAGCACTTTGGGAGGCCGAGGTGGGTGGATCACAAGGTCAAGAGATCGAGACCATCCTGGTCAACATGGTGAAACCCTGTCTCTACTAAAAATACAAAAATTAGCTGGGCATGGTGGCGCGTGACTGTAATCCCAGCTACTCGGGAGGCTTAGGCAGGAGAATTGCCTGAACCCAGGAGGCGGAGGTTGCGGTGAGCAGAGATTGCGCCATTGCACTCCAGCCTGGGTAACAAGAGCGAAACTCCGTCTCAAAAAAAAAAAAAAAAAAAAGACTCAAAATCAAATTTGAAGTGTGAAAGAGAGAAGTGGTATCAGCACAGGCTGAATATCTTACCTCTGAAAATGACAGATCAGATAAACCCAAATTGAGATATCCTACAAAACATCCAACCAGTGTTCCTTAAAACTATCAAGTTCATCAAAAACAAGGATGATCTTAGACACTGTAACAGCCAAGAGGTGAGGATCCTAGAACAGAAAAAGAATATGAGGTGAAAATGGAGAAATCTGAATAGAATGTGGAGTTTAGATAATGATGTGTCAATAGTGGTTCAGTAGTTGTGGCAAATGTATCATAGAAATGTAAGATGTTAGAACTGAGGGATATTGTGTGAAGGGCACGTGGAAGCTTCCTACACTATCTTTGCAATTTTTCTTGCAAAGTCTAAAACTATTCTAAAATAAAATATTTACTAAAAAAAAAAAAAAACTAATTACATTTTTACCATTTTTGTTATACCATTCATAAGGGTGTACTGTATAAGCAAAGCTTAGACTTACCATACCAAAGTAAATGGGAGACTGAGAAAAACAAGAAGCAAGCAATAAAAACTTGTTCCCCAATATCACTCATTAGTGTAATAAAATGTTCATAAATTTGACAATATCAGAAAATAAAGAAAGCACTAAGCATGTTAGTCCTTAGTAGAACTCTCTTCTACAGCAGAGTAGGTTACACATAAAAATGACCCATAGAAACTTACAAATGCTAATAAGTAATTTCCAGTTAAAAATATTATTATGTGTCCATTATCAGACCTTAATGAAGTTAAGCAAAATAAATCTTCCTGTCTACAACCCTATATCACAGGTGTCCCCAATCTACTTTGTCATTATTTTTGCAGGGCATTCATTAAAATGTTTCTCATTCAGAATTCCTGCAGAACTTTAGAATGGCCAACTGGGCTGGTGAATATATTTACTTTTTTTTGGCTTGACTCTGACTTTTGTTTTTAAGAGCTTCTTGAGATTTCATTGACATATAAGAAACCATACATATTAAAACATATGATTGAAAAAATTTTGGCAGATATGTACACTGTGAAATAATCACCACAATCAAGATAGTCAGCCACATTTTTCACATGACTTTTGTAACCACTTCACCCTGACCCTTTCCAGCCCCTGCCCCCAACCCTTGGCAACCTCAGATTTGCTTACTGCCACTAGAGATTTATTTGTATTTTCTAGAACTTTATATAAATGGAGCAATACCATATGTATTCTGTTATGTCTGGCTTCTTTCATTCAGCATAATTATTTTGAGACTCATCCATGCTGTAGAATGCATCAATAGTTTGTTTCTTTTTATTGATAAACAGTATTCTATTTGTGACTATGCCACAATTTAAACTAATTGATATGGATACTCATTTGAATTATTGGGTTTGTTTTCAGTTTTGGGATATTACAGATAAAGCTGTTCTAAACATTCATACGCAAGTCTTTGTATAGACATGTGCTTTCATTTCTCTTGAGTAAATACCTTGGATTTAAAAGGCTGTTCAGTGGGTATAAAATTTCATTTATGTAAGATGAATAAGTTCTAGATATTAACACTACAACATTGTGCCTACAGTTAGCAATATTGTATTGTGCACTTAAAATTTTCAGATAGGTCTCATGTGAAGTGTTCTTACCACAAAAAAATTAGTCTGCATGATAACTGTAAAATAAAGGTAGTATAATTTTCTCTATTATCAAATGAAGAATACAAGACTTAGGGGTATAAAAAAAAACTTGTCTAAGACCTCAAAGCCAGAAATTGGTAGAAACAAGATCCAAACCCAGGATTTGCAACTCCAGAAAACATGAATGATGAAATTATTGAATACGAGATTTGTAATTATAAAAGTCATACACTATAATCTATGTATACTGCTTGCCATTTTGTAGTTAATTACCATGTAATATGTTAACAGTTACCTCCATAATGATATCTGTCAGATTAACTGTATTATGAGTTTTTATTGAGACAGTGTGGACTTCATTTCTATATCATTAGTCTTCTAAGTCTGTTGTTCATAAAGCTTGCTTAGCTATTCATGCAGTGTGATAACTTGCTTTTAAACTAAAAATATGAAGGGAATTTTGATCCTAGTCATATTAGCTCAGTATATACTTTTAGAAAAGAGTTCTGAAGCACAGGTAGGGTTGCTATAGGGGAGAATAACTGTCTTTTCTACTTTTTGTGACAGGAGATGGGGATTAAGGATGGAGATTCAGAAACTGAATAATTATAGTCTGATTTTTTAGTCTAAGACATCTTAGTCTGACATCTGTTCTGACTTGGATAGATGTTTAACTATCAGAAAATAGTGCCCTTTGCCTGTAATCCCGCCCTTTGGGAGACCGAGGCAGGTGGATCACCTGAGGTCAGGAGTTCAAGACCAGCCTGCCCAACATGGCAAAACCCCATCTCTTCTAAAAATACAAAAATTAGCTGGGTGTGGTGGTACATGCTTGTAATCCCAGCTACCGGGGAGGCTGAGGCAGGAGAATCGCTTGAACCCAGGAGGCAGAGGTTGCAGTGAGCTGAGATCACACCACTACACTCCAGCCTGGGCCACAGAGTGAGATTCTGTCTCAAAAACTAATTAATTAATTAATTTAATTTACTTTTAAAAAACTGTGCCTTTTCTCCCCCCTTCTACCTAGTCCTGCTCTTTAAATGGCTCTCTTGATATCTACACATGTGGAAAACCAGCTGAAGTAGATTCACATTGAATCCTTTTTGCCTCGGTCAGTGGTCAAGGCTGGCTACATAGTTTGTGGGGCCCAGCGCAAAATGAAAATGTGTAGCCTCTTATTCAAAAATTATTAAAAACACCAGGATGACAACAGCAGAGTATTAAACCAAGAATCATGCCCTTCTCAAACTTTCTTACTTCTAAACAAAAGTACAATACATGCACATTAAATAAAACTGGGAAAATTGAGATGAGAAAAATATAATCCACAGGTCCAATAATTAAGAACAGGCACTATTAGTATATTGATATATTTCTATATAGGTGTCCTTTCCTATGGGTAGTTTTTTTTAAAACATAGTTATAATAGGATACATATTTTTCCTGCATTTTTTCAGGTAGCATTATATTATACATCTTTTCCACATTATCATTTAATCTTAATAATTAATGTTTTGAGAGGTTCCCTTCTCCTATAGATTTGGAAAAAAGTTTGAAAGAAATAATCACCTGCTTCACCAAGTTCATCTACTGCAATAAGAGACCTTGTGGAGAGAGGAGGGAGAACCACACCAGGTTTTACTAGCAGTCCTTCCAGTGACTGGCTGAGGCCCTGAATAGGCTTCTTAACTTTCAGACTTCCAGTTTCCTGCTCTATAGTAGATAAGAATAAGAAAAGTAAGCAGCAGCAACACAGTAAGAGTATGAATAGTAACAATACTAGCCATCAGTTGTTGATTCCCGGGCAAATTTGTAGTGCCGGAAGCGTCAGTTGTTGTGCTCTTCCAGAGGAAGAATAAGCTGGAAGAGGTAAACTCATAGTTTTCAACCTGTTTTAAATCTATAGTAGTTAAGACAGCATAGCATTGGTGCAGTGACAGACAAGCTGAATAGCAGAATAGCAAATAGAATACAAAAAGAGACACAAAACCATTGTCATCTGATTTATGGTAAAGACAGTTCTACAGTAGAGTAGGGAAAGGATGGTGTTCAAAATATGCTGCTGGGACACTTGGTTAACTCTACAGGAAAAAAGAACATTGATTCCTATTTGGCATCACACACAAACACTAATTTAGGTGTTCTACATCACATCAAAATATGAAAGGCAAATGATAAAGACTGCAAGGTAAAACACAGAAAAACATCTGTGTGACCTTGGAGTAAAGATTCTTAAAAGTACACAAAAGGCATAAATTGTAAAAGAAAAAATTTGATAAACTGGACTTCATTAAAAATTTTTAATTCTGTTCATAAAATGATGCCATTAAGAGTGAGACACCGTCGCTGGGCGCAGTGGTTCACACCTATAATCCCAGCACTTTGGGAAGCTGAGGCGGGTGGATCACCTGAGGTCTGGAGTTTGAGTTTTGGCCAACATGAGGTTGGGGTGAAACCCCATCTCTACTAAAAATACAAGAAATTAGCTGGGTGTGGTGGTGGGCACTGGTAATTCCAGCTACTCAGGAGGCAGAGGCAGGAGTATCTCTTCAACAAGGCAGGCAGAGGTTGCAGTGAGCTGAGATTGTGCCATTGCACTCGCTTCTGGGCAACAAGAGCTAAACTCCATCTAAAAAAAAAAAAAAAGAGAGAGTGAAAAGACAATCACATAAAGAGAAATTTTAACTGTAATATACAGTATTTAACAAAGTTCTCACATCTAGAGTATTAAAAAAATTCATGAAAATGGAAAGAAAACGTCCTAATAGGAAAATGAGAAAAAACGTGGACAGTTCACAAGAGAGAATATCCAAATTGTCGCTAATCATTTGAAAAGTTGTTCAAATTTATTAGTCATCGGGAAAATGCAAATAAAAGTCACAAAATGATAGTTCTCACCCATCAGACAGAAAGAACCAAGTCTTGGTCAGAATACAGAGTAACCACGGTCCTCTTGTGCTATTGGGAGGTTTATGAAATAGGGCAACTACTTTGAAAAACTATTTGGCAGAATCTAATGAAGCAGAGCGTATACAGACCTTATGACTCAGCAATTCCTCTCTAGGCGTACAACTAGAATTGTGTACACATGTTCATCATATAAATATTTACGGCACCATATATATATACATAGTAGGAAAAAAAAAACCTATCCAAATGCCAAACAGGAGTAGAATTGATAAATACATTACGATATAGTCGCATAATAGAATACTGTGTGGCAGTGAGAATGAATTAACCACAACTCCATACAACCAAATGGTTCCTCAAAAACATAATGTTGAGTGACAATATCCAGACCCTGAAGAGTATACCATGCATAATCTCATTTATATAAATTGCCGAAGACTCAAAACAAATTACGTTGTTAGAAATCGGGACAGCGGTGACTCTTGGAATGAGTATTAAGAATGACTTTGTAAAGGGCATGAGATGAACTTGTGGGTGCTGGTAATGACAGGATTCTTGACCTGGATACTACGATAGGGGCGTATTCAGTTTGAAATTCACTGATCTGTATGTACCTTTATGTGTACTTTTCCATATATTAATGACACTTGTAAAAAAAGTTAAAAATATATATTACTTTGAATTTGTACCCAACCAGTTAAGTAATATCCCCATTTTAAAGATGAAAACAAGAGAAATAGTGAGTTTAAGTTAGTTGCTTCTAGTTACCAATAGCCACTAAATGGTCTTTAGAGTCCTTTCTAAGATTCCATTAGGTTTTATGAAATACTAATTTCAAATCTAATTAACTTTCTTTCTTTTTATTCTAATTTCTATTGGCCTTCTTACTCTTTGAAAGTTTCCAAATTTCTTTATCCAAGGATAAGACACTTCATTACTTAAAATAATACTGCAACAAAGATTTCTTTCTTTCTTTCTTTTTTCTTGTTGACAGAGTTTGGCTCTTGTTGCCCAGGCTGGAGTGCAATGGTGTGACCTGAGCTCACTGCAACCTCCGCCTCTTGGGTTTAAGTGATTCTCCTGCCTCAGCCTCTGGAGTAGCTGGGATTACAGATATGCTTCACCACACTCTGCTAATTTTTTGTATTTTTAGTAGAGACGGGGTTTTACCATGTTGGCCAGACTGATCTTGAACTCCTGACCTCAGGTGATCCACCCTCCTTTACCTCCCAAACTGCAGGGATTACAGGCATGACTCACCGTTCCCGGCCAACAAAACTTTCTTAAACCGCGCAAAGGTTATTTCTACTAATGTCTTACTCATTTTCTATGCTTCTTATTCTGTAGGCAAGCAAAGGTCGGACTACAATTGTGGTAGCACACCGACTTTCTACTATTCGAAGTGCAGATTTGATTGTGGCCATAAAGGATGGAATGGTGGTGGAAAAAGGAACACATGCTGAACTAATGGCAAAACGAGGTCTATATTATTCACTTGCAATGTCACAGGTAATGCTTAGGTGACATAATGCTGTCAACAGGGTTTTTTTTTAATGTTTCAGAGATCATACCACACTAGAAAACAAAAGTTGCAAATTATAATCTTAAATTTAAAAAGCAACCAAGGTTTATAGTTCCTCAGTAAAGAACCCGTCTCAAATCCTCCGTGTTGTGCTAAATAATATGGAAGTTGAAGAACTAACGTGTACCTGGTACCTGATATATGCCAGGCACACTCCAAATAGGCTTCCAAATTTGTATGTGGCAGATCCTGTGATTTTTGGGTTGAACACAAAGAAGTATAACACATAATCCCAACGGAAAGACTCAAAACTTACCTACAGAGGCAAATTGCAAGATTATGCACACAGATGTTACTAGTTGTAAAAAGAAAAAAACAAGATTGATGGGGAGAGACAGAGCTCTATTACCTACTAGAGGTTCCATGAAAGAGGTCTTTAAGTTTAAAAGGTGGGAGTTGGAGGTGAACACGAAGGACAAATTTAGGTAGGCAGAGCAACAGCATAGAGGCAAAAAGGAACTTGGTGTGCAACTAAAACAAAAAAACGCAGCTTTCCTTAAGTAATAATGAGAGTTAGGGGTATAATAGAAAAGAGTTGGGTAATGAGTGTCAGATCATGGAAGTTCTTAAAAGCCAGGCAGAAGGGTTGAGACTTAATGTGTAGGAAGCACCTGAGACCATGCCTGGTACACAGTGGGCACTCAATAAACATTTGCTGAATGAAAGGATGCGTACATGAAACCTTACTGTCACTACATCCCACTAGTGAACGAGATGTCACCACATCCCCACAAGTGGACCAGAAAGCTCATACTGGGCAATCAGGCGGGGGCACCATGATACTGAAGGCACACAGCAAATTCCCCTTCCTTAGGATCTATACTTGGGTGTGTCATGGATCCCCCCTTCTGGATTTCACATAACTCTCTCATTAGGGCACATTAATATAAGTCATAGGAATTAAGCTCTAGCTCTCTACTTTTTTCTAGCCCAGCTTTCTTCCTCTTGATCTGGAAGGCAGCCTTTTTTTGAAGGGCTCTTCTACAGATAACTAATTTCAACCCATTTTGATCTTCTTCAACTTTCTGATAGTATCTTTGATATCAATAATGTTATTTTATAAATTCAGAAATTTAGAAAGTTATGAGCCTCCATCTCCTCATCAAGTTTATAACTTCATGCCCTAAGAAGCAATGATAGCAAAATAGGTTTGAAAATATAGTTTTATATTAATTGAAAAACTGTCTGATTCTGTTTTATTTCATATTAGTTCATATTTTACGTTTCAAAAATAAAAGTCAGGTGTTATTTGACAATTGAATTTTCATTCCACAGAAGACTTAATAATTTTTTAGGTTATTATGTTTAATATTTTGAAACTAATATTAGTTGCAATAAAGGGAAATAACTGGTTGAGTTAACCCTATTTTGAGATTTTATTTTATTTTTTTTTGAGACCAAGTTTTGCTCTTGTTGCCCAAGCTGGAGTGCAATGGCACGATCTCAGCTCATTGCAACCTCTGCCTCCCGGGTTCAAGTGATTCTCCTGCCTCAGCCTCCCGAGTAGCTAGAATTACAAACATGCACCACCATGCGTGGCTAATTTTGTATTTTTAATAGAAACGGGGTTTCTCCATGTTGGTCAGGCTCATCTTGAACTCCCAACCTCAGGTGATCTGCCTGCCTCGGCCTCCCAAAGTGCTGGGATTACAGGCATGAGCCACTGTGCTGGTCTATTTTGATATTTTCTTTAAAACTATTAATACTATTATAATCTGATCTTTCTTTGAAGTAGTACATCCTTATTTTTTATTGAAATTAAACTAAAAAATCCATTATTAGGTCTTAAGTTAAAGGCTTTCACAATATAAAAAAAGCAAAAGTGGGGCCAGGCTCGGTGGTTCACGCCTGTAATCCCAGCACTTTGGGAGGCCGAAGCAGGTGGATCACGAGGGCAAGAGATCAAGACCATCCTGGTCAACATGGTGAAACCCCGTCACTACTAAAAACACAAAAAAATTAGCTGGGCATGGTGGCGCATGCCTGTAATCCCAGCTGCTCAGGAGGCTGAGGCAGGAGAATTGCCTGAACCCAGGAGGCGGAGGTTGCAGTGAGCCGAGATCACGCCATTGCACTCCAGCCTGGGTAACAAGAGCGAAACTCCGTCTCAAAAAAAAAAAAAAAAAGCAAAAGTGGTGTGTTTGTGATAGGAATGTGTAAAAATTTTAAACACCTTATTTAAAATGGATTATTCTCTGATTACCTAAAATAATGTCCATTC